GTTAATGGTGCTCCACAAAGAAGAGGGTTACCTTCATAACTTGCTTCACCAAAAGTTCCAAATTGATTTTTTCGATCTGGTATCTTACCTGACAAGTTGTTGTGAGCCACACTAAAATCTGACAGCATGTAAAGCTCTATTAGTTGTGGAGGGATGGGACCGGTTAAGTTGTTGAAGGACAGGTCCAAGCTCTCTATGTTCGTTAACTTGAAAAATGTTTCCGGGACCGTTCCCTTCAAATGATTGTGTGACAAGTTCAATGCTCGAAGTTCACTTAAGTAGCCGACCTTTGGAGGAATAAAGCCAGTCAAATTATTCTGCGAGAGATCCATTCCCGACATGAGTTTTAGAATGTTGCCCTTGTAAGATTCCAACCTACTCTTTGTCTTGAAGTGTACTTCTTCGAATCTCTCTGTATAAGCATATATGCCCCCGTAATACATAGGAAGGAACGAGGTAGCAAATGCCTCCGTAGATACCCCAGCGTTTCCAAATGTCAAATCTTTCAAACAAGAAGGAATTGTTCCAGAAAGATTATTATTGGAAAGATCCACTATGCTCATATTTTTCAACAGACATAGATCCAGAGGGATTGAACCTTCAAAATTGTTTCCTCGTAGTAGAAGAAACTTCAAGTTCCGAAGTGAACCGATCCAGCTAGGGACCTCACCTGACAATACATTATCTCTCAGATCCAACGTGACAATCGATGAAGCTCCTACAAGAAACTTAGGAAAATGCCCAGCAAGCGTGTCATTTGCTAAATGCAAGAACCTCATAACTACAACATTGACACAAGGGGGTATATTCGGCCCAAGGTTGTTACTTGAAAGGTCTAAAAGATTGAGATACCGTAAGTTGCATAAGCTCAACGGTAAAGGACCTCCCAATAAATTACTTGACAGTACAAGCGTGCTCAAGTATTGAATATCTCCAATCCAATTGGGAAGTGTTCCAGATAGGGAATTATTACTTACATCTAAAACTTGCAAGGAGGAGATATTTAATATACCCGGCGATATGTCCCCTGTAAAACGATTGTTGTCCAAATACAAAAATTCCAAGCTTGTCAAGTTAGAATACCTCGGTAGCATTTGGCCTTGCAAATTGTTGCCTGACAGGTTCAATAAGAAAAGTCGCGAACAATTTTTAGCCAATGTCTCTGGTATTTCTCCCGTGAAGCCATTATTCGACAAGTCCAATGTGGACAACAGGTGCATATTGCTCATTGAGGAAGGGATTCCACCTTTCAAATTGTTGTTTGACAGATTCAAATAGCCCGTGATCGGGAGGATAGAACCAATATGAGATGGAAGCTCTCCTTCAATAAAATTAGCAGACACATCGAAAATAAATAAGCTGACAAGATTCAAATTGGAAGGCAGATAAAATGAACCTGACAAATTGTTGCCTCTGAGTACCAACTGTTCTAGATTTACATTGTTGTCCAATAGCCAACTTGGGAAATTTCCTGTCATTCCATTGTGGCTGAGTTGAACACTGCTCAAGTTGTACTGTTTTTTCAGAAAGCTGGGAATTACGCCACTTGCGTCTTTGTTGAGCACACAGTTTGATAAACTAAACGCCTTCAGTTGAAATGAAGGAAACCAAGTGGGCTCTTCTGTATTTACTACCAAACTATTATGGTTGTCCATGAGGTGGAATTCCTCAAGGTTGTAATTATTAGCCAGGGAAGCAAGTGAAAGTGAGCCTTCAAATGCATTCTTAGATAACGCAATATATTCAAGTGACTTGAGATTATAGAGGAGAGGCGAAGGAATGGCCCCGCTAAAATTGTTATATTGAACATCAAGCACACGGAGTGAGGTCAAATTGCTGAAGCACGAAGGAAGAGGACCCCAAAATCCATTATCACCAATAACCAACTCTTCAAGGTTTCTCAATCTGCACAAGCCTGTTGAAATGGACACTGCAACTATGAGTATCGCCACTAAATTGTACTTTGTATGATTAAAACACTCAAGGTCATGGTTTGTGTCGAGAATGGAGGATAGAAAGAGCGTGCAATCTAATATCCAAAAATACAAACAGAAAATTGGTAAGACGGAGCTTTGGAGTGGAGTCGCATCACCACGATGTTTCATTCCACTATTCTTCACATTAAATTAATTACTTCTGGAGTTTGACAAATTTTGAATTGGATCGGAAATGAACTCTAAAGTTGATATTATTCCTAAAATTTATGGGTTAATTGCATGGGCAACCTCTAAATCTTGGCTCCAATTTCGTTATAGTTTCTGAATTTTTTTTTACTAGTTTAATTATGTACTTTTCAAAAACAATGCAATGGGATCCTCCATTTAGTGCAGCGCGAGATCACTGTGTTCTTTTGGCAGACATGCCTGCCAAGTCAGCAGTGGAGGCCCCCCAAACATCATTTGGACTCACAACTCACCACCGCAACTCGCCGCCCTCCACCACCATCCACATTGTCGTCCCGGTTTGCTGTCCATCACTGCCACCTCACTGCTTGTCCATTCCACCCTCCGGGCCATAGATGTGACACGCGTGACCTCAGTTTTGAGCATCACGGCCTCAAAATTGAGGACACGCTTTAGATCTTAGGTCGTCGTAGTTCACACCACACCAAAGGTCGTGCAGGGTCTTCTGGCAGTGGTAATGGCGACGAAGCTTCGTGGTGTGATGATGGGCATGAGCGCCGCGGTGGGTGGAGGCAGCAATAGACATTGGTGCAAAAGATGCCGAGGTTTTTTAAGGCCGAATGAGTTTTTTAATATTGTAATTATTTATTCTATTCTATACATTGTTTATCTTAATGGAAAAACCATTTTTCAAATTAATTAATTTATCCATTATAAGAAATGCTTTCTTTGATTGATTTTATGCATCTTAGTTTACTGATACGAATTTTCAATTTCTTAAATAATTTTCATGGCCTAGTTGAATTTATTAACACTTGCAATCCCTAAAGTTTGACCATCACTGTGGTTTAATATATAAACTGTAAGGATTTTTTGGATTTTGATTCCCGATTAACTTTTGCATTTAATTTTATTATGATTCCAGCACAATAATTGAACCCCTCTAGTATATTGTTATTTTGACTATTTTATCTTCTAAGCAATAACTCCTTACATCTATTATGTTATCACACTATTTTTCAGATTGGCTAGTAAAAAAGATTCACAAATGTAAAAGCATGGAGCCTAAACATCAATATTTAAAGATCAGGGATTAAATTGAAAATGACCAAAATTCTTAGGATCACCGACATCATGATCCCACAATAAAGACATTGAGCATGACATGGGTTTATTTATGGCTTCCATAGACATTTAACTAAATCCTTCCCACTTCGAGCATAAGACAAACAGCTATATGATATCATTTACTTAGATGCAAGTTGTTGGCGCTAAGTTATTTGAAGAAAATGTGTGGCCAAAATATGATCCAAAGGACGTTGAATATAATGCAGTCATGCCTTCTATGTTCAAGACAATCTTATCTTATTTTCTCCTAAGAAGGTGATAAATGAAAGCATTTTCAGAGAAGTACCTTCCAATAACTTTGAAGCATTCAGTCCACAATAACTTATGTCTAAGGCCTTAAGAGATGTTATCCTCGCAATGTCCACGAGGGCATCATTCACCAAATTGTTATCACTAACATGAAGTGCGCGGAGTGAGGTCATATTGCTGAAGCATGAAGGGAGACCCCAAAATCCATTACCACCGATATCCAACTCTTCAAGGTTCCTCAATCCGCACAAGCCTGTTGAAATGGACACTGCAACTATGAGTATCGTCACTAAATTGTACTTTGTATGATTAAAACACTCAAGTTCATGGTTTGTGCCTAGAATGGAGGATAGAAAGAGCATGCAATCTAATACCCAAAAATACAAACAGAAAAATTGGTAAGACGGAGCTTTGGAGTGGAGTCGCATCACCACGATGCTTCATTTCCATTATTCTTCATATTAAATTAATTACTTCTGGAGTTTGACAAATTTTGAATTGGATCGGAAATGAACTCTAAAGTTGATATTATTCCTAAAATTTATGGGTTAATTGCATGGGCAACCTCTAAATCTTGGCTCCATTTTCGTTATAGTTTCTGAATTTTTTTTACTAGTTTAATTATGTACTTTTCAAAAAAATGCAATGGGATCCTTCATTTAGTGCGGCGAAATCACTGTGTTCTTTTGGCGGACATGCACGCCAACTGCCAAGTCAACAGTGGAGGCCCCCCAAACATCATTTGGACTCACAACTCACCACCGCAACTCGCCGCCCTCCACCACCATCCATATTGTCGTCCCAGTTTGCTATCCATCATTGCCACCTCGCTGCTTGTCCATTCCACCCTCCGGGCCATAGATGTGACACACGTGACCTCAGTTTTGAGCATCACGGCCTCAAAATTGAGGACACACTTTAGATCTTAGGTCGTCGTAGTTCACACCAAAGGTCGTGCAGGGTCTTCTGGCGGTGGTAATGGCGACCGAGCTTCGTGGTGTGATGATGGACATGAGTGCCGTAGTGGGCGGAGGCAGCAATAGACATTGGTGCAAAAGATGCCGAGGTTTTTTAAGGCTGAATGAGTTTTTAATATTGTAATTATTTATTCTATTCTATACATTGTTTATCCTAATGGAAAAAACATTTTTCAAATTAATTAATTTATCCATTATAAGAAATGTTTTCTTTGATTGATTTTATGCATCTTAGTTTACTGATACGAATTTTCAGTTTCTTATATAATTTTCATGGCCTAGTTGAATTTATTAACACTTGCAATCCCTGAAGTTTGACCATCACTGTGGTTTAATATGTAAACTGTAAGGATTTTTTGGATTTTGATTCCCGATTAACTTTTGCATTTAATTTTATTATGATTCCAGCACAATATTTGAACACCCCTCTAGTATATTGTTATTTTGACTATTTTTATCTTCTAAGCAATAACTCCTTACATCTATTATGTTATCACACTATTTTTCAGATTGGCTAGTAAAAAAGATTCACAAATGTAAAAGCATGGAGCCTAAACATCAATATTTAAAGATCAGGGATTAAATTGAAAATGACCAAAATTCTTAGGATCACCGACATCATGATCCCACAATAAAGACATTGAGCATGACATGGGTTTATTTATGGCTTCCATAGACATTTAACTAAATCCTTCCCACTTCAAGCATAAGACAAACAACTATATGATATCATTTACTTAGATGCAAGTTGTTGGCGCTAAGTTATTTGAAGAAAATGTGCGGCCAAAATATGATCCAAAGGACGTCGAATATAATGCAGTCATGCCTTCTATGTTCAAGACAATCTTATCTTATTTTCTCCTAAGAAGGTGATAAATGAAAGCATTTTCAGAGAAGTACCTTCCAATAACTTTGAAGCATTTAGTCCACAATCACTTATGTCTAAGGCCTTAAGAGATGTTATCCTCGCAATGTCCGCAGGGGCATCATTCACCAAATCATTACTAGAAAGATCCAGAGTCTCCAGATTCACACCTGTGATTGACAAAAGGTTCTCAAAATCGAACTTTATATATCAAGGCATGATCTTCTATTTTACATGTACCTTCAAGCTGGTTGGAAGACAAATTTTGGGCCTCCATTGAAATTTGCTTGTACAACGAGGGGACTCGTTGTAGATAATTTTCAGATAGATCTAGCCTCTTCAATTTCCTCAGGTGTAGCGTTCCATTTAAATCTGGTTAAGAAACGACTCATGCATATCCGATAGTTAATTAATTCTCTATAGATATCATATGTCTAACTACCTTAAATTTATCGATAATAACTATATGCTCATGATGAGGAGAATTGGTTTATAAGCAGAAACCAGTTGGTTCGACATATTCGAGCATAAAAAAGGTTTATGTCACATGAATTTGTAAACTAATTGAATAAACAAGTAACTTAAATGTCGATCATATGTAGTTAACTAACACTAGTAGACCTGAGAAAATGTACCCTTATTTTATTGTTTGGATACTAGAAAAAGGAATGATCTAGAGAGAAAAGAAAAATAAAGATGCATTATCACTTTATTGTACTTATATATAATTAATTATGTATTTACAATTTGAATTGCATCAAAGGTATATGTGGGAAAGAAAAATGATGTTTGATGAAAGTATTGGTCCCCCTTAGTCCCTCCAAATCCCTTTATATGGGGGATTTAAAAGACACATGACTATACATAATTCCTCCTCATAGCTTCTACTCTTTCTTTTCCTGTCCCTTTCTTTCCCTCTATCCAAACACTACACTACCTTTAAGATCCTTTCTCTTCGCTCTAAATTAATCCCCTCTATCAATCTACTTTTCCTGATTGTTTTATTTTTTATTTTTTGCAAACCTTATCACTCTCGCAATTTGACTTTTAATTATCATGAAATGCTCAAAACATTTCCAAACATGTAAATATTAATACGTAGAATAATATATAGTTCTTTCATAATCTGATGGACGTTGATTTTCTTTTTTCTTATATTGAATCTTGAGAGAAAGTCACAAATAAAAGTATTAAGTAGATTTTAGTCCAGTTCCAAACAAGTGCCCTTCAAGTCAACTTTTTAGGGTGCAAAATGCAAACAAGTCAGACCCTTTATGATGGCAGAAAAGTCGGCATTTGGTAAATCATTGCCTACTGAGCTGATTCTATTTTCGCTCTTCGTACCTATCCTGATTGTGGAGATGAGTCTCCTAATTATTTTATGACATGTGCAATCTACTACTTTAAGAATTGCATCATTTGTGCAATCATGTGTTTGTCATTAATTCACTTAATCCACTTTGTTGTTTGGAGCACCCACGTATGACATTTTTACATTATTCAGAAACGGTAAGTAAACGATTACATAGAGACATAATTGAAAAAAGACAAAAGGAACAAATAGCTGAGAGAGAGATATTCACCTGAGAGAGAATTCCAACGTAAATTCAACACTTGAAGTTCCTCCAGGGGAAGGAATAAAGACGCGTCAATAACCAGCCTAGGCAATTCCCAATAGCGCTTTCCCAATGCGTCCGGGCGTGTCCGGTTCAGATACAATCCAGTCACTCGCGAAACGGTGTTATTGCACTCCACGCGTTCCCAGCCGCAACAGTCACCATTGCCATCGCGCCACGACGGAAGAGAAGACCCATTTGGGTGGGTGAAGGCGGCCTTAATCATGAGCAGTGCATTTCTCTCTTCTTCCAAGCACCCCATGCTTCTTCCACTTCCCATCAATACCAACAGCACCCAAGTCCACATACCCAATAAAAGATACTTCATGTTTATAATGGTGTTTTGTGCGTTTATCTGTTTCTTCTGCTTCACCATGTGCAAACTTGCGAGGGTCATCTGCTTCATTTATACATGCGGAGTCTTTCCATTTTGAGTGATTATTACGGTTGGGCCAATTGCACCAAAAAAACCATCGGCAAACTCAAAGTCTACTGCGGCCAATTCCACGGAACACGTAATTATCGCCGTTGACTTGACCCAGAACTTCTCCAAAAGAGAGATGAAAATTATAAGATGAATGTTATAAATTGATTAAAAAAATGATTATAAGCAGATCGACAAAAAATAAGCCACTAGTGATTTCACCAAAGTTATGAAGGAAATATGCGTTCCCCAAGTATCATTTCTAAAAAACGAGAGATAAATAACAAAAAATCTATGTTATTAATTTTTAGTATAAGTGTTGTTTTGCCAAGAGATATCACATAAACTGGTATTTTTTTGGACTCATTGAAGAAAAAAAAAGACAACTTCGTTTAATTTGATAACATGATCAAAACAATAATGATCAACGTTCAATATATCTTATATTTAACTTGAAGTATCAATGAATGTAAAATTGATTAACTGTCAATAATTTAGAATAATATAGAAAGCATAGTCTTAAGCTCTTATGATGCACGGATATCTTGTTAGTGTTATAAGAATCCACAACAGAAGCAGACCGATTCGGGTTGTTTAAGGCAGATTTAAACAACTTCCACTTGAGCTTTCACTTCCCTCCAACATCGACACGTTCCAAGTCCCCACGCACATGTTCAGTGCAGATGGAGGACGCTTAATTTTCTGCCGGGGACATCTTCAAGTCAAAGATGCGACACATCTTATCCTCCCACGCGGTCATTAAAGCTTGTCATGACCCAGAAATTTTCCAAGGAAAAGTATGCAAACCATTCTTTAAGTTAGTTGACAATTGAGGACATGAAAATGATAGAGAAGAAGGCAGGCACCATAGCTGATTCAATCATCGCGACATAAAACCAATCAAGTTTTTCATGAAAATTGAATGTTCAATGATAATGATGGACTGTAGGAGTGTATGCGGAAATTTATTTAGTTTATTGTGTGGACATGCACTCAATAGATGTGATCAGTTATATTGTGTGCTTCCTATATTGAATCACTTGATTTATTAGTCAGAAGGCATTGATTTTATATCTTCCCGGTCCATGTGCAAAAGGTTTTGGATATCTATTCTACAAATAGGAATAAGTGCACTAGAAAGTGTAATCGAGTTCCTAAACTTTCAAAAAATACAATTAAATTTTAAAATTTGTTAAATTGATGCAATCAAATCTTTCAATTAAACCCATCCAATTTAACTAACGAAAAATGCCGACATGACCTTTGTTCTATTACTTTCTTAAGACAAATGGTATCGATATGGCTTCCACCAAGTGCTACATAAAAAAACTCGAAAATTTAAAAGAAAGAAGGATAACAAGATTTAAAATAAAAATAAAAATAGGATAAAAGGAAAAAGGATAAGAATTGAAAAAATAAAAAGATAAGAATTTAAGGGGGGTAAAAAGGCAAAACCTTGTCGCTCGAGTTTCATGGAGCTCGGCCATAACTGCCAACTCTCGGGCTTCTTCAAGCTTTTGGCCATGGCTACTTGAGTTTCGTCCAGCTTGCAACCATTGCCGCTTCAGCTTCTAGGCTTCTTCAAGTTGGCGGCCATGGCCATTGGAGTTTCGTTGAGCTCGCAGCCATGGCTGCTCGAGATTCGTCAACCTCAGCCATGTCCACTCGAGCTTCTTTGAGCTCCTAGCCATGGGCCATAGCTGCTTGAGTTTTGTCAAGCTCAACCATAAGCACTCCGGGTTTCAAGGTTTTTCAAGCTCGTGGTCATGGCCAATCGAGCTACGTCGAGCTTCACCATGGCCGTGAAAGCTTCATCAAGCTTTCAGCCATGGCCGTGAAGAGCTTCGTCGAGCTTGACCGTTGAGATAAATTTTTTAGCTAAGCTGAACCCGCCTGGGTGGCGCTGCTGGAGCGCGCACTCTTCCTCTCGCAAAAGGTTGAGTGTTCGAATCCCGGGTGCCGCATGGTGACTTAACCGGTGCACGTGTGTGGTGGCTAGCACGTGTCGCCCCCAGGGTTTACCTCCCGGCTGTCGGCCGTGCGGGGGTTCTCTGGGTCATCAAAAAAAAAAAAAGACTTAGTGTTAATTCTAAGTTGGTTCAATTTTTTTGTAAGGCACAAAGGAACCGATAAAGCTCTTTCCGGGCTACAAACGTAATTCCTCGTATTTCCTCCAATTTTCAGAAAAAAGAAAAAGAAAAATGATATTATTGCCTTTGAGTGCTTTCACTGCAGTCTGCTTCACCTATTTTTTTTTTATTTTTTGAATGATCAAAATCGAGAAGGTGGGCTAGGTGTTGGGACTATTTTATTTGGCTGAAAGATAGGTAGAGGCTGTGAATTTACTTCCTGCAGTCTTCTTGTTGTTGTTCTTCTTTTTGACAATTCAAAACGAATTAAATATAACCGTCATTTTAATTTATTTATGCAAAGTTGTGCTTTAATTAATTTTTATCTTTTAATGATTAGGGGCAATTGTGCCATTTTTTACCAAATGAGGTGGTTTTGGCATATGGGGGATTGAAAGGACATGATACATCCATAATAACTTTTTCTTGACATTATCAGTACCACTACCACGAAGCATTTATCTCTTGAGACAGCACAATAAAATAAATGTCTATAGGTTAAAAGTGGAGTTCATCCTATAAATACAATCTCTAAAGCTAGGCGAGAGCCCTGTGACATTCTTAAACTGAGGAACGCACTGACATCATTTTCTGTGTATTTAGTCATTATGAATTTTATGTTAAGGCTTAAAGCCCCCATTAATTTTGACTTGCTATGGTTCTTAGATTACTTATTCGGTCTCCGGAACAGCATCTTTATATCTCACTAGGCTCCAAATCGCGACTGCTTAATCAATGTAAGATATATCAAACTAGGGCCTAGTTGTGGTGTACCTGTCAAAATATGTTTCAAGTTTGAGTCGGTTAAATGAATGATCCGAATTGAATTACTCGGTATGTGAAAGTTCGAAAACAAATATACGGAAATTTGATTTCCGTAGTTGAAGTCAGCCAAGAATAAAAGGGAGGGGCACACAAAATTACCTTTCCCCTTATATGTGGTCCAACTGACTAAAGGCTAAGTCCAAGCAATATCCATGATCTCTCAATTTCGTAGATCTTATGTTTGTTATTATCATTAGGTTAACTCATTTTCTGAAGATTAATAGACATATTTCACGGTACCAACTGTTTGTCCAGTTAGATAAATTATTTATCCTTTTTTTTTTGCTTAAATTTCTTTTGAGGAGTGTTGAGGGTATAGAATTGGGAACTTTATGTATTTAACTGACTAGAGATATGAGATTTATTATGTGTAGACTCATTATGCACAAAGCTTTCTGTTCACGCAATGACCTTCCTGGACTTGGTCCTCCACTACCACTGGAGGAGACTTCATATCTGGGAAACAAACCAATATGGAGTCACCAGCTGATTTCGATATACAAATTCCTTACATGCCTTAACGCCTCCGGTATGTGCAAGAGCACGTCTCCAGCAATTTGAAGACTAAGCGAAGCATATTCTAGCAGAAGAACCTTATCCGTAACAATGACTCTTCTGCTCAGATTATTTAATATAGTCAGAACAGAGAAGAGTGTATTGCTTATTGTTGACATAACAAGTAATCGAAGTTAGAAGCGCCGTTACTATCGTTTCTCCTATTTCGGACAATTCGTCGAACACTTTCTTAGCAGAATCAGTAACCTCTATAGTCCGCGGCAAAATTGAAGTGGCCGTTTCAAACACCATTCGGCTGGCCCTCGGAATCTGTCACCCATATGCATTGTTGTTCAGCCTATGGCACCGTCTTCGGAATCGCTGGTTTATACTCCATTCATCGCCATAAATTCCAAACACAAAGAAGTTTCTATTCATTCAATAGTCGCTGAATTGGAAGTTTCTTTCCTTCCATTTTTTCTTTTTTTGTGCAAATTCACGTCTAATTTCCTTTAAGCATTAATTTGAGTTGATGGAAAGAGAGATACAATGGAAGTTCTTTTTCCTTCCACTTTTTGCAAATTCACGTCTAATTTCCTTCCAGGGCTAAATTTGTTGGTAAATATCTTAAAGACGTGGTTGATGTTAATGACTTTCCGTGGTGAAGGATCTGCAACTCCGGCGTCTCTCCTTCCAAGCACCCCGTCAGTTTCCACTTACCCATTACTCGTTAGCATAATCACTTTAATGCAAAAGCAAAATGAGGATGATGGAAAAGAAAGTCGGTTGGGTAACTCAATTTCTCTTTCCATCTCCATCTAACATGGATGAGATTTTGCCTCTTTACCCCCGACAAAACGCTAGACTCGTTACTTATTTTCTTGGTCAAGAACTTGGCCAATACTCTGAAGCTAGGTCAATGCAAAGACCTTTTTCCTTACGCAGATTTGAAAAAACATATTGCAATTTTCTCGGTCATCATATCGAAGGAGAGATATGATGGAAGTTCTTTTTCCATCCACTTTCTGTAAAATTCACGTCCAATTTCCTTCAAGGGCTAAATTTGTTGGTAAATACTATTCGGTAATCCGTATTCGATCATCTTAAAGACAGTGATTGATATTAATGACTTCCCATCGTGAAGGATCTGCGGCTCCCGCGTATCTCCTTGTTAATTCACTATCAACCCCTCCTCTCCTCTCCTCTCCTCTCAGCTTCTTCTGTGTTTGTAATGATTTATTGAGCAGGGCGTCCTTCCTTCCAAGCATCCCGTCAGTTTCCACTTACCTTTTTGACAGGGATGTCCATTATAGAAAGTAAGTGGCAAGACATTGGACTAAAATTTATGTTTCTTTAATGCAGAAGCCATATGAGGATGATGGAAAAGAAAGTCAGGTCCAGTCACTCTCAATTTCTCTTTCCATCTCCATCTAACATTGAATGAGATTTTGCCTCTTTACCCCCGACAAAACGCTAGACTAATTACTTAATTTCTCGGTCAAGAACTTGGCCAATACTCCGAAGATTGGTCAATGC